GGGAGGTGAGGTGTCTGGATGCAGGGTCCTGGGAGCAGTAACAGAGAGGAAGGAGGCCTGCAAGACACAGGGTAGCCAAACGCTACCCAACAGGGACTGTGCTGGTCTGTGGAAGGAGGAGCCAAGGACGGCGAGGTCTGGAGCCTGCTCCTGGGAGTGCAGGAACTTGTCAGACGAGGCGACCTGGGGACACAGCGTAGGGCTGAGGTGCAGGGTCAAGAGGCACTCTGAAATGTGGACGGGTGAAGGAAGTACAGATCTGAAGGTTGTGAAAGAGCAGATGGCCTCGAAAACTGTGGGAGTGGATGAAATGGGCAAGAACACAGAGAGACAGGGTGGGGAGAGGAGAGGAGCCACCAGAGGAGAGGAAAGGACAGAGCAGGAAGGAGAACCAGGGTGTGGTGCAGGCCGGGAGAGGAGGGAATGAGTGATCATCACAGCCAAAGCTCCGGTTCACCAATGGGGGAAGCTAAGATACAAAAGAGAAAAGAGCTGAGCCAGCAGATTTGGGAGGAGCCAGAATCCAGAATGAGGATGAAAAGATGAGTCTTGGAAAGAAGGAGCTTTCTTCCCCAGAAAAGGAAACATAGCAAAAAATGAATGGAGAAAGACATGGAAACATCTCAGCTGGAAAAGGATCAGTGGTTAAAGATGTTCGACAAGGGGACAGAAAAAGATCCATGGTGACATTCACTCAATTTCAGTATCTGTGCAGATCTCAGCTTTATTATGAACTGAGCAAGACAATGCAGGATTAGAAGCCAGACCTAGGACCCAACTAAAAATTCCCACAGTCACGTCGGCCAGTGAGAGATCCCTCTCTCTTTTAGTACTGTATCACCCAAAGAGCCACGAGAAACACACAGTAATTGATGGAAGAGTCTCATTGGCCTTGTGTTACCTAATGCAAATTTTCTTTTCTTGCTTACTTTTTCAATAGTGTGGCTTAAAACTCTCTAAAACAGGAGTTGGCAAACTATGGCTCACAGGGTGGTCTGTCAGCTGCGTTTATAAATGAAGTTTTGTGGGGGCATAGCCATGCCTATGGTTCACGCACTGTCTTCTGCTCTTGAGCCAGCAGAATTCAGCAGCAGCCACAGGGACTGCATGGCCCACAAAGCTTAATATCCACTCTCTGGTCCTTTCCTGGAAAAATTCACTGACCCTGCCTTTGAATCATGAAGCTCTAGATGCAGGGATGCCCCAGCCAGGAGGGGAGGTGAGGGTATAGCAGGGAGACCCCAGCCCCAAGTGTGCAGGCTTTGCTAATATCACCATCCTCGTGTAGTTAATATTTTAAGACTGTAAATGTCTGAAAAGTATGGATAAAGAGATTATAAAAGAATTCTTTGATACCGTGGATGATTATACGTAAATAAATTAGGGTAACTTATCACAACGGTGGCTATGCAGCCCTCTGAACAAATTCCCTAGAACACCAGAATCTAGGTCCAGACAACAGCTGCCAGGCTCCAGGCTAACTATGTATCAAGCACGTGGGGGCACATCTATCTGCTTACCAGGATCAGAGGCAAGAAACCTGATGAGAATTTCCTTCTGATACAAACCGCACACACCAAAAGCAGCATTCGTGCTGACGAATTCTAAGATAGTCCGGAAATGGCAATAACTTCTATGAATATCTGGCTAATGACTACACACCCCCAACACATGCAGATGAAACCCAAATGTGACAACATCTCAGATGTGTCAGTTACAAAGGGTGACACAGACCTTACCTATACATCTGGAGCTACAAAATAAGAGAACAGCTCACGTACAAGTCTCTTTAATTTCCTGAATATACAAATTTTGATTCTGAATATACAACCATGTTATCTATTATGCTTTGTTCTTATTTCTTAATCTAGAAATGTATTAATAGTTCCTCTTCAGTTTCTCCATTTCTATGTAGCTTACTAATTCCTATGTTACTCTAGTACCTTTTACAAATATGCCTCTTGAAGTTTCAAAGTGTTGCTTTAATTCTCCTGGTTACTCTAAATTATGCTCCTTGACTTTCGATAATGATAAAATATTTTAGAGGTGTTGATCCTTTCCTTTCCAACTGTCTTAAGAACATGACATGCACAGAGGTTCTGAATAAACACCTTCTGGTTCTCTATCATTGTGGAGAGAGGGCCCTTAATGACGTGCAGGCCCTGTTCTGTCTGAGCTGCAGGGAGCCGTCGCATGGCACGTCCATCTTCTTGTGTCACAAATGTGCACATCTCAGGCCTTAGCATCTCAGGATGGGGAACATCTTGAGCCCTCATTGTCAGTGTTTTAAGTGTGAATAACAACAAGCAGAGCCATAGGAGGAAAAACCACCTGGACGGGGACCGCATGGTATGCTAAGCCAGCCTGATGGGAGATGCACGTACAGTGTCCCTGTCATGCTGTCAGGATGGACCCACAAGGACGCAGGATTTCATTCCAACAACCACAAAGCAGAAGTACCATCCACTTGTTACAGCCTCTTCATGGTCTTTAAACGCTTGTCTTTCCTCTACCCTTTGGGCAAAAGAGGTTTCTACAGACTCTATCCAAGTACTTCACCTTGAGGGACCAGAGGTCCTACAAGTTGGTGGTTTATTTGACCCTAAATTCCTTAAAACACAGACATACACAGAATATTTTCTTATTTGTAGGCTTCTGATGGCCTCAACAAAAGGTTGAACACTGCCAATTCTGACTTTTTACTTCTTTTGCTTTTGCCACAGGAGTAAAAAAATTTTATTTTTTTTGGCGGTAGGCGGGCCTCTCACCGTTGTGGCCTCTCCCGTTGTGGAGCACAGGCTCCAGACACGCAGGCTCAGCAGCCATGGCTCACGGGCCTAGCCGCTCCGCGACATGTGGGATCTTCCCGGACCGGGGCACGAACCCGTGTCCCCTGCATCGGCAGGCGGTCTCTCAACCACTGCGCCACCAGGGAAGCCCTGGAGTAAAATATTTTAATTCTCTTTTTCTTATTTTATTATTTTGCCACTGCTTTCTTTCAAAAAATTTTTTTCATATTTACAGAAAATTCCTGGATACTCTAGGAACTTATCTATGTGCCAAATTAGAGATTACTGAAATGTCACACACTGAGAAGCTATATTTAGGTTACACTGAGTCTTAACATACCTGAGTAACGCAACCTTTTATAGCTCGGATAAATTTAATTCTCCATGCTATAATTTCCTCCAATATTCCACATGTAACTACATAAAGGGAGAAACAAATGCAGGGAGTAATCTGTTCAAAATTATGTGTTTCTCTTGGTAAGATTCCTGATATTTCCTTAGAAGTGTACTCAGTCAGAAAACACACATTCCTAAGGTAAGAGCGAGGGGCAGAGGTGGAGGGAGTTCCACGTCTCTCCCGCCCAGGTGGCTACCAGACAAAGCACACGGACTGAGCCTCAGGGCTATCTCAGGTTCCAAAACACAGAGGAAGAAATTTTAGCATCTGAAACTCTTTAACGGTCATATACATTTCTGCTTAATTTTTATCTATGATTTCAAATAGAGGTTCTCAGTACACATTAACCAGTGTATGTTCCCGAAAACGTTTTAAACTGAAATTTAATACTACTACTTTGCATGTGAGCGTTACTTTAAAAACTGTGGAGAATTTTCCTATTTTCTCCTTTTTACTCGCAATGGGTACGAAGGAAAGACATTATCATTCCTTTTCTTCCCACTAAAAAACTAGAGCAGGGAATACTGACTTCTGAAGAAGCCGGCAGCTGTTAACGTGAGAACTGGGACCAGACCCAGCCCTCCCAACCGGCTGCCTGTGTCCTGCTGGTAGACAACCAGTCTCACTGCTGATTCTGAAAAGGCTGTTGCTTTTAACCTCAACTTCATGCTGAGCAAGTGCCACTGGGGCCAAGTCCTGAGAAGTCAGTTTGGAATTCCTCTGACTCTTGTCAAGTAGCCAATAATCTAGAAATACTTTTTGAGTCTGAGAAGCTGGCAGAGTATTTCATTCATTCATTTCATTTACCTACTTTCTAAACATGGAGTTTTCGGATAAGAGGATAGATGTGGGAGGATGCCGTGCACCTGCCCTGTGCTCGATGATCAACCACTGCACAGGGAGGTGCAGCTTCCACGTCCCTGGATGCGGCTGACCCTGGTCCACCCCATTTGAATGGAGAACATACTGAACCATCTTGGCACCACATTCAAAGCAAGTAATTTACTTTGTGAAAAATTTTTTATTGAAATGTTTAAAAATCTCAATCCACAGCTGAAAATGGATCAGACAGATCTGGACCTCATGCTGTGCCTTCCACACCAGATGAATGTGGCGCAGTGAGTGGGGGGCTAGGGTGCAGGCAGAGAAACAGGACCCTTACTCACCCCCTCCACGCAGCCCCCTGCTCACCCAATATGCTCCTTTCCTCTAATAATTCTCACTTCATCTCCTGTTTTACACTATTTCCAAACATCTTACCAATGCTTCCTAACTCTGTGCTTTTTTAAATACAGAGGATCCCATGTATCATGGAACCTACATACAAAGTAACGTGAACCACCCCAGAAAGCTGAATGCCTATGGCAGAAAACCATATAAGCAGTAGTGATGAAAGCCTCCCCTTCCTAAGTAACTTCCAAAGTAAGGGCAAACTCACTCTGAAGTCCCCAGCCTTGTTTATTAGCATAATTAAAATTTCATTTAGGAGCATACTTTAGCATGAGGAGAAGAAAGCACGTAACCAGATACGGCTGCAAGTTTCTCTAACGAACAAGAAAGCATTCTTCTACAAGCAGAGGAGACGTCTGGGATGTAAAGAATAGTAAAACCAAGGGTTTCACAAAACAGTAAAACCAACGCAACAAAGCAGCCCAGAAGCGGGAGTGGGGCTCTGTTCTGTCCCTCGGATGGATTCCATGGCCGAGATGCACAAATAGAGAAATTTCAAAATAAAAAGGGCAGGGTTACTCAGCAGCCACTCAGACGTAAGGACAACGAGAATAAGACAGACGACTGCCCAGCAGGGCACTCACCTAGGTGCGTCTGAGCCATGACGTCAGCCAGTCTGTGGGCGGCGCCACTCCCCCCACTCTGGGTGGAAGAGGAGGAGGTGGTGGAGGTGGTGGAGCCGTGGATGGCCTGGCTGATCCAGTGCTCCATGTTGATGCTGCCCTGGCTGGAGGTGGGGGTCCCCTGGGAGTCGCCCTGCACCGAGCCTTCGTCTTCTGAGCCAGAGGAGGTATCTGTGGGAGGCAGGTGATCAGCCGTGTATATCACAGCAAAGAAGCCCCCCCCAGGATTAGTCCCTCTCCAAACACTGCGAACACAGACCTACCTCCCACACTAACTGATCGACGACCTTTGAACACTCTTGAAAAATTACACACTTTTCAGATGACAAATTATTTTTCACTGCAGTGAAGTCTTCATCCAAAACACCTTACATATATATGCTACAGAAAGTTGTGACATTACAATCTCAGACAAAGACATACTCACCAATTTCCTCCACTCAAGAGTTTGAGGGAGAAACCAAATGTTTTCTGTGTACTCAGACACAAAGCGAGAAGGTCAAGGTGGCGTTTTCTAAAAGACACTGAACTTGCACGTGTTTCGAAGTGTGATGCTCTGCAGCCCTTCTTTATACCGAGGTGTTTCTCTGAGTCATGTGCTATTTTAAGTTCCATGTGAGTGTGGCAGGTCTCATCCTCCTGCCTCTCCCAATCTGGACTTCTCTACCAACCTACATCTAAGGACTCTGCCTCCTCCTTTCAGGAGGACAGTAAATCACCACACTACATTCTGTGATCAAACTAAATGCATTTACTTTTACATTTGTTCCTTATAAAAGTTTTTCATTATTTACTTGATTTATTTTGCTATCTATGAAAACTGTGTATCTTGGATTGAGCAAAAACGTGTCACTTTTTGCATTAAAATTAATGGAAATAGTATTCATTTAATAACTTTTCACCTAGAAGCAAGGTTTTCAAGAACGAACCGTTGTATACTTGTTATTTAAACTTCAATATAAGAATGACATTTAGGATCACACATATAGGTGAGTTATGTGAGATGCCAGGAGGGAAAAAGGATGAGAGTAGCTCTAGAACATTTACTGAGAATAAGTGAAAGGGTAATTTGTCTTAAATCAAGAAATAGGACTTTTTCTTTTTTTAATGTTAATTTTGCTGTTTATTCACTCATTCATTCATCAATACTTACTAAGCACTTACTAATGTATTAGTTACTGTTCTTTTTTTTAAATTAATTTTTATTGGAGTATGGTTGATTTACAAGGACTTTTTCTTTAACACAGCAATATTTGTGAAGGATATTTACATTGCATTTTATTATCATTGTGACGTGACCTAGGCTGTCTAGAAATTTTTTAAAAGTTTATCTATTAGAAATTTGTTACAGAAGCAACAATAATATTAGAAGGTCAACAGATTCTCTTCCCTTGTCCTTCTTTTAAAATAACTTAGAATTATAATTTACATAAAAATAAAATTTATATTTTTGGAATTCAGACCTAAGAATTTTTTCAATTTTTTTGAAATTGCGGTAAAATACACATAACATAAATTTTACCATTTTAATTTTTACGTGTACAGTTCAGTGATATTAAATACATTCATAATGTTGGACAACCCTCCACCATCCATCCACATAACTCATTTCACCTTGTAAAACTGAAACTCTGTCCCCATTAAACAGTAACTCTCCATTGCCCCTTCCCCCCGCATCCCCTGACAACCACCACTCTACTCTCTCTCTGTGTAATTCTGACTACTCTAAGTACCTCATGTAAGTGGAATCGCACTTTTGTCTTTCTGTGACTGGCTTATTTCACTTGGCATAATGTCTTCAAGGTTCATCCACTTTGCAGCATGTGTCAGAACTTCTTTCCTTCTTAAGGCTGAATAACATTCCATGATATGTACAGACCACATGTTGTTATCCGTTCATCTGCTGTGGACACTTGGGTTGCTTCCATGTTTTTGCTGTTGTGAATAATGCTGCTGTGAACATAGGTATATAAATATCTCTTTGAGAGTCTCCTTTAAATTCTTTTGGGTATGTACTCTGAAGTGGAATTACTGGATCATATAGTAAATTCTATTTTTAATTTTTTGAGGAACTGCCATTCTGTTCTCCATAGAGGTTGCACCTCTATGCACCTCATTTCCACCAAGAGTGCACAAGGGTTCCAATTTCTTCATATCCTTACCAACACTTGTTATTTTCTGTTCCTTTTTTTTTTTTTTTGATAGTAACCATCCTCATGGGTGTGAAGTTGTATCTCTTTGTAATTTTGATTTGCATTTCCCTAATGATCAGTGATGTTGCGTATCTTTAAATGTAATTATTGGCCATTTGTATATCTTCTTTGGAAAAATATCTATTCAAGTCTTCAGACTTAAGACTTCTGAGAATGTATACACCCCTATATCCACACAGAACATTACCACCTCCCCAAAAGTTTTCTCATGCCCCTTTACAAATCAATCTTTCATTTCCCACCCCATCTTTTCATAAGAAAACTACAGAACAATATCATTCATGATATAGACACTAAAATCCTCAAAAATATTAGCAAACATTATCAAGCAACATATAAAATGACCAAGTGGTAACCAGGATTACACATATGAACATGAATTAAGGTTAATTTGACATTCAAAAATGAATTAATGTTATATATCATATTAGTAGAATAAAGAGAAAAAAAAAGTATGTTAACCTTAAAAGTCAGAAAAAGTATTTTACAAAACCTAACACCCACTCATGATAAAGCCTCTCAACAATGCAGGAATGGAAGGAAACTTCCTCAACCTGATGAAAGGCATTCATGAAAACCCATAGCTAACACTGTATATACTGGTAAAAGACTGAATACATTTCCCCTAAGATAAGAACAAGGCAAGAATGTCCCCTCTTGCCACTTCTATTCAACATTATCCAGCAGGTTCTGGCCAGTGAACTACAGGGAAAAGTAAAAATTAAAGACATCCATCCAGATTAGAAAGGAAGTTGTAAAACGGTCTTTATTCACAGATGACATGATCTTATATGTAGGAAATTCTAAGGAACACATGGAAAAATTCTTGAATTAATAAATGAGTTAGCCCCTTCTGCCATGTAAGGACACAGTGAGAACATGGATGACTATGAGGAAGAAGGCTCTCACCAGACAATGAATCTACCAGCACCCAGATATTCTCAGCATCCAGAACTACCTCTGCATTGACAAAGTCATCAATGTGCCCAGCTAATTTTCCAGTTATCCTTGAAGTGGGGGTTCGGGGGGGACTTAATCAAAATTTGTTGAGTGGAGCCTCCAAGAAAGTTCTTTAATGAGGAATGCCTCTGTTGAGAGGACTAAAAGACAATGGGACAAGATGAATTTCTGCAGTGGGACAAGCACATACAGAGTGAGAGAACCAAGATATCTCTTATCAAAGCAGATAGGCATCAATGCTCCCCCACACCCTTTTCTGGCTGGACAGACTGCAAATTATTCCCACCTCCCAGGGAACAAGCACACGTTGATCTAGTAGTCAGAAGTCAAAATCCAGCCATCCAATCAGTTAGCATGCGTTGTCACTGTGGCAGGTGAAAAGAGTTGCATAGTTATACATCTGACTTCTTAAATTCACAGGACCACCAAAAAAAGATATGAAATATCTTTATAAGATACTAGCACTGAACAATAAGAGAATGAAATTAAGAAAAAAATTCCATCATGACAGCATCAAAAAGGATAAAACACTTAGCAATATATCTAACAAAAAATTAAGACAATACCTAGTAAAATCCCAGAAGGCTTTTTTTAAGAAATTGAAAGCTTATTTTAAAATTTATTTGGAAATGCAAAGGCCTGAGAATAGCCAAAATAATTTTGAGGAAGATGGAGGACTTCATTACCTGATACTAAAACTTACTATGAAGTTAAAGTAATCAAGATAGTGATATTAGCACAAGAATAGGCATATATTTCAATGGAACAGAACTGAACCCAGAAATATAGTCTTACATTTATGATCATGGTCAATTTATTTTTGACGAAGATTCCCAAGATAATTCAATGAGGAAAAGATCATCTTTTCAACAAATGGGCTGGGCAACTCAATATTCACGTATCAAAAAACCAAACCAAAATAAAAAACATAGATCCTTACCTCATACCATAAATAAAAATTAATTCAAAATGGATCACAGGCCTGAATGAAAGAACTAAAACTATAAAATTTCTGAAACTTCCCAAAGCACGATCCATAAAATAACTGATGAACTGAACTTCATCAAAATGGAAAACTCTTAAGCTATGGGTAACATAACAAGTCACCACTAATTCAGTGGCTTACAACACTGCACATACTTATTATCTTAACAGTTCTGGAGGTCAGAAGTCTAAGATCAAAGTGTTGGCAGGGTTTTATTCCTTCTGGAGGCTTCAAGGGAGAATCCACTCCTTTACCTTTTCTACCTTCTTAGAGCCCACCTGTGTCACCAGCTCATGGCCCCTTCATCGATCTTTAAAGTGTATCCCTCCAACCTCTGGTTCATTATCTTTTTTTTTTTTTTACTTTGATACTTTTCCCTAAGGACCTTTTTTCCTCCAGTTTTATTGAAATATAATTGATATATATCACTGTATAAGTTTAAAGTGTACAGCATAATCGTTTGACTTACATATATTAGGAAATAATTACCATAGTAACTTTAGTTAGCATCCATCATCTCATATAAAATAGAGAAAAAAACTTTCTTCCTTGTGATGAGAACTCTTAAATTTTACTCTCTTAACAACTTTCACATAGATCATACAGCAGCGTTAACTATAGTTATATTGTACATCACATCCCTAGTACTTATAACAAGAAGTTTTTGCCTTTTGACCACCTTCCTCCAATTCCCTCTCCCACCACTCCCTGCCTCTGGTAACCACAAATCTGATCTCTTTTTCTGTGAGTTTTTTTTTTTAAGATTCCACATGTGACTGAGATTACACAGTATTGTATTTCTCATTCTCTGCCTGAATAGAGACTTCTTTGATTACAGTGGGCCCACCTGGTTAATCCAGGATAACTGCCCTATCTCAAGGTGCTTAACTTAATCATGACTGCAAAGTCTTTTTTTACAATGTAAGGTAATATATTCACAAGTTCTAGAAATTAGGACATGGATATCTTTGGAGGGGGCCATAATTCTCTCCACCACAGACAACATTAAGAAA